ATAAAATATGCGTTTTGGATGATTTAGGATGACCCTTTTCAAATTTTAAGTCTTTTATTCGTATTATTTCTAGTTCCTTATCAAAACTGAAGTTAGTTTTGATGAGTACAGATGTTACTCTGAACTCAGCATATAACAGTGCATATGCAATACATAATTTGAATGCCCCAAATCGGCAGGCTGTGGTGGAGATTGAATCATTTTAATATGCGTTTTGGATGATTTAGGATGACCCTTTTCAAATTTTAAGTCTTTTATTCGTATTATTTCTAGTTCCTTATCAAAACTGAAGTTAGTTTTGATGAGTACAGATGTTACTCTGAACTCAGCATATAACAGTGCATATGCAATACATAATTTGAATGCCCCAAATCGGCAGGCTGTGGTGGAGATTGAATCATTTTTTCTGGTTTATTTAAAATATGGATAGGTGTACACACACATATACATATATCTGAAGATCTACAGATTTAACTTATCAAATCGATGACATCTGCGTTACAGGCCAGTACTGTCCGGGGTTAGCCACTCCTGAGGCCTTGGTCCTCTCATCCTATCTGAGGCATCTGAGGGAGGAGAAAACTATCACAGCGTCAAAATAATTTGTTGTCGTTGTTGTTTTCCCCTAAGATGGTTGGATGAAGGTAAATAAGAGGTTAGAAGAAACACACTCACCCTGAAACTTACCACTAAATATATAGCTACAAAGTGAAATACTGTTAGACGACTGTCTTTCCTGCAAAAGTTACTTGTGCCCCAGTCCAGCTCAGAGAAGAGTTGAATCTGAGACTGGATCTTAGGAGCTGAGAGCTTGCAGGCAGCATCCAAAGATGTAGATAACAGAGGAGCGCCCCCCCCCCCGTATACTTCTGTACCTAAAATTGAGATTTGAAAGTCATTGCCAAAAGAGCCAAGAAAACCGGGTGTGCTTTATATTTCACGATGTGTGGGTGAAGGCTCGAAAAGCAGGGAATCCCAGCTAAGGCCTTTCTCCTCCAGATTCCACATCTTTAAGACGGGTAGGAGGAGTTCCTCTTCCCAGGCTGTCAGTGCACTCAACGTAAAGGCAAGGCGCTGGGCGACCTAGCGCTGGCCAACGGGTCCCAGGGCCGGGCCCACATGTCATCCACGCCCGCTGCAGATGACAATCCTATTTTTAATCAGGTGGGTGGCAACGACAGCCCCTGGGCCCTAAGACTAGGCAAACCAGAACCGACTGAGTAGGTTCTGCTCCCCACTCTGCTTGGAATTCGCTGTGAGCTTTGCTTACTCGGCAGGCCTGCTCCCGTGGGCTGATGGCCCAGGGACGTGAAAGGAGGAAAGGTACGGGCTCCGAGGGGAGCGAGCAGTAGGTCCTCTAGGGAAGGGCCAAGGAGTGGGTTAGGGGCCGAGGACTGGAGAGCCTGGACGCGGGGCGCGCCCTGCCAGGCCGGGCGAGCTAGCAGGTGCTGGAACAAAGGCCGCCCTGCTACCGAGGCCTTTGATGGGCAAGGACGTCTCCTCCCCGGGCTCCTCATTCGCATGCAAATCCAGCGCTGGTCCCCTTTTCTTTGAAGGCAAACAGAAGGATGTTTGTGTGTTTGTAGGGACTAGGCTGCTTGAACAAGCCTTCCTCAATAGGCTGGGTCTCGAAAAATAAACCAGTTGGACAAACATTGGCCACCAGCTCTCCTCCTCCCGACTACAAAGTGTGGATTTGCTACAACTCATTAACCCGACGCTTTTCTCTCCTTCTTCTTGTTTCTTTACTCATCAAACGCCCCCGTAGAGCCTGGAGACAAATGACCGAAGCCCAGTTGGGAGGGAATTGCAGTTAATGGGGAGAGGGATATATTGGGGCTAATGGTTCAGGCAGCTCCCGAGGAAGGACCACACAAAAAGGAGCCTCTCCATTCAGGGCTCTGTTGTGCTGCAGGGATTTAATCTGCAGCTAGATTTAGCCAAATGTTATCTATTGCCCGGGTAATGAAGCCCTTATGGGTTGAATTGCTCCTTGTACCACACATGGTGTCATGACCTTAGATTGCTTCTTGGTTGATTTCTTTTTTTCCTCTATCAGGTAATTATTTTATTTCTTTAAAATAAAAAGCTAGTGCCTCTGCTCAACAACGTGTTTCCTCTCCATTCCCATCCCACTTCCTTTCCTATTAAAAAGGAAAGAAGAAAAAAGCAACCGAGAAAGTGAACGAGACAACTGTGGGGCTCTTTTCTTTTACTGGAAGCATCTTTACATCCATCCATCTATGCTCCTCTGTTCCCTATTCAGCATCTCACCATGTCCAAAAATTGTGTTGCTGGAACTGGAATTCTGGATACATGTATTAGCCAGGCTCTTACAGCTTGTGTAGTGAGCAAACATTTCAGGAAAGGCTTCTGCCCCTCACAGATTTTGTTTTTCATGAACCCACACATCTTCCTGTAGCCTGCTGACTGGGAGAGCTGGGGGAGGTGCTCACTCTGATGGAAGGTGATTATTTTGATGGACTACCAGCCTCTGTCCTTTATTAAAGGCTGTCTGAGGCCACTGGTTGAGGCTGTGCCTGTTTTGTTTTTCTCTCTCTGGCCCCGGTGGCTCTGGTTTCCTTGCTTGGTGGAGGACGAAGCTTGGAGCAGAGAAGTGTTATTACA